GTAAACAAAAACATGTGATAAAAATTATATTATGTGAACTAGCAGGACTTGTACTTTTACATATTAAAATTAACAACAATTACACGCATTTCTCACAGATTATATAATAATAATATTGTTATTTCCATTACCTCAGCTGATAAACATGCATTTAATTCTCTTTTAAGTGAATTACACCTACCAAATATTCTATTAAAAAAACTTGCCCTATGGCATTCTTCAAATCTTAAGATTATATCAAGACATTCTAGAAGAAAATTATTGAAGTTAATCATGATTTTTGTTTTGACGAATTAAGTTTTTAGAAAAAATTAACATTAAAAAAGCTTACTTGGATGTTCATGGTATGCTAAATTTGGATGCATGCTTTTATTGATGGTATTAATTTTGATTTTTTTTTTGATTTTTTGAAAAAAAAATTTGTATTGCGTCACACACAATTTTGTTACTACGGATTAAGAGCAAAAAATTTTCTTAAATGAAATAATGATTTTAGATAACAGTAGTAGTAGTAAATGTTTGGGATATACTAAAAATTTTAGATAATTTTATTGAAAATTTTTCAATTACTACTAATGCATTCATTGGGTACATCAAAAGGAAGCTCGAAAGCATCAAAAGATTCAGCAAGTTAAATAGAAAATTGACAAAAAAATGTAACTTCCATCACTTTTATTTTCATCTTCATTCTTTCATTTTCTCCGCCTTTCTCTATTGTCTGAAGGCATCATTATCCACCTGCCAATCAAAAATTTCGTTTGCAAAATTCCTTTGGCCTGATGCTATCAATTACATCACAATAGATTATTACTTGGAAATGGTGCCAACGAATTAATTGATTTGGTCGTAAGTTTGCGTCTAAAGGTACTTGGAAACCTGGGACGTTCAAATATACACATTAAAATATATAGAAGTGGATGTGTGTGCGCGCGCGCATGTGCATGTGTTTATATATATCGTAACGATAATTCATTATTATTATTATTAATGATCGCTTCATTAGTATAAAGAATAAGAGTGTGATGTGTGAGAGCGTGTGTTTATATTATGTATTAATTATATAACTATTTATAATAACAATTAAAACACTACCAATCAACAATAACTACACATCATCCTCGACATTTTCTTTAATCCATTGTTTCAATTCTTCAAAATTTTTATAATCACCTGTAGGATTAAATGGATTTACAATACATGCAAGTGTGGCATGCTTAACATCATTAGATTATACGTCCATTGGTTTCTGCTGATCCTTGATACTTTTACACATTTGCAAAATAGATGATGAATCAATGCAACCTTGGTTATCAGAAAATTTTCGATCAAATTCATTTACTTCACAATACGAGTTTCTTTCAACATTTATGAAACCAATAAAGTATCCGCTTATATTATACATTCGCTAAACCTTGGTCATGTGCAGGATTGAGATGGATCAGTAGTGTTTCCTACATCACAAAACATTGTAATGATCTCAAGTACCATGGAGCGTCAATACACCGGCACTTACATTCCTGTACAATATAGTGGAGGATCAAACACATATGAAAAATACACGAAACTTACACCAAAATGGCGTTTGGAATTAATCAAATCCTTTGATAGAAGTGGTAAAAAAAAATCAATCAATAATAATAAACGAAATAATCCTGATGGTGATGACATTTTATGGCAAGGAGTTTTTGTCATTCATATGCGAACAATTTAAATTGCCGAGAATGCAGTAAATAAAGTCAAGTTATGCATGTATCTGTAAGAAGTGGCCAACCTGGTTATAATCGGCCCACTTTTGTTAGAATTGCTGTTAGAGAACCATCCAAAGTAGATGTTCGAATTAAAACTTGGGAACAATTGTGTCATGAATAATTAATTATCTATTAATTTAAAATTTAAAATTTTGAATTGGACAAATATATATATATATATATTATTATTTACATAACACACAACAGAATCGCTTGCTTGTTATGGCCAAAGTAGACTTCTCAAAATTTCTTATTCACCATCATGTAGCATGCACGACATATTAATATTCAATTTCGCGAAATCTTGTCTCACGTATTAATTGATTACATAGAATCACAAGGGGAGGGAGGGGCCAGCCCTTATTATCAACTCTTTTCCCAGTGTTGACGCGTTAATACCTTTGTGCAAAATGTATATAAAGAGGAAGGTTTTTGGAAAGAAGTAGGAATTCGGTTCAGAATGAGATTCGAACTAATAAAATAGTCTACTCTTAAATTTATTTTAATAAAAAGTTTAGCAAGCAAGGCCTTGTTTACATTGATTGAGGGAGACTAATTATCTGCAAAATTTTCATACCGTTTCGCATGTTCTAATTCCAAATTCGTATTTTTTTTTTGTTTTTTTCTTTAAAATAAATACCTCTTTATCATGTCACAAAAAAAAAAAATTATATATGCTCTTTTCAATTATATTTTCTTCGTTTCCTTTTTCAAATATAATTATATAATTAATTATTTTTCAAGCTCTATTTTTATCATTCTCACCCAAGTTCTTCTTTTACAGATTCTTATATATATTTATATTTGCACGTTTTAATATAGAAGCTCAAATTCTAATATACAGTACCTAGACAAAAGAATCGGAATGCATGTTTTTGTTAATTACGTAAAAACATACATATCAACAACATATTAAATTTATATCATAAGTAACTTAGGTTATGTTAAACCTTCATGTAGAACTTAATGTTTCAAGCTTTTGTACAGCTCGAGTAATAACAATAATAAAATTTCAATCAAAACTCAATTGACCTAAAATTTTTTTTAGTATTTTTTACTAATTATTCAAAAGCCTATACAATAATACAATTTGAAATTTTAATATGTAAAAGTACAAGTCCTGCTAGTTCACATAATATAATTTTTATCACATGTTTTTGTTTACTTTTTTTTTTAAACCAAGTTTTAAAAATTCGATTTTTTAAAAAATCATAAAAAAATCAAAATTTTTTTAAATTTTAAATTAAAAATGCGTGATTTAACTGAAGCAGAGCGCGGAGAAATAATTGGTCTATATAAAAGTGGTGCCACATATAAAAGTATTTCTAAAGAACTTGGCTTTCCTATTACAACTGTTTTTAGAACTGTAAAAAACTTTAAAGAAAGGAAAAGTGTGTCAAATCTACCAAAAAGTGGACGGCCAAAAATTTTGAACACCAATCACCAAAAAAAATTAAAAAAAATCGTAAGACAAGGCAATCGTAAATCAGCCGAACAAATTAAAGATGAGTTTAATGAGAAAACCAATTTACAAGTTTCTACAAGAACAATTAGAAGAAGTTTGCATGAACTTAATTTTTTTTCTCGTGTCCCTGCAGCCAAACCTCTCATTAATGAAGTACAAAGACAAAAACGTTTAAACTGGTGTCTAGATAAAAAAGATTGGACTATTAGAAAGTGGAAAAATGTCATTTGGAGTGACGAGAGTAGATTTACATTGTTTAAAAATGATGGCCCAGGTCGTGTATGGAGAAAACCTCAAACGAGATTTCATATTGAAAATCTTCAGCCGACAGTGAAACATGGTGGTGGTGGTATAATGGTATGGAGTTGTTTTTCAGGCAAAGGATTAGGGCCACTCGTGAAAGTTGATGGGAAAATGAACAGGCATGACTAC